GTGGGCTGCAGTACCTGGGCTAGCCAGTGGGTGCTCTCAGCAACCAGAAGCTCACTCCTGCAATCAGCCATCACCTGAGGCTAATTGCAGGAAGTGTATTTAAGGAATGGCCAGACCTGCAGTCAGTGCCTTGTTGTACTGTTTCGCTTGGCCCCGGTATCCTGATCCTGCTTGCTTCTAACCTGATCCTGAACGAACTCTGCCTGTACTGACCTCGGCTAGTCCTGACCACTCTTCCGCCTGCTCCTGGTACCTTGTTTGCCAGTTTGCTACCGACCCGGCCTGCCCGACTACGTTTAGTGTTGTATGTATGTTCTGTTGTTTGTTGGAGGTTTGGTTTGTTGCACTGTGTTATGTTTTGCTCTGCGTTTATGTATTGTTAGTCCTTAATAAACTGTATTGTTTATACTATACCGGAAGCCTGCGTTTCCCTGTGTCAGTCCACACATTTCTGGTCATACCCAGATTCCTGACACTACCTATCACACTTTTGAAGGCCCTAAAGCACCAGGACAGTGGAATTACACACAAAATGACCCAATTTTGGAAAGCAAACACTCTAATGTATATTCTATGAGGCATAATGAGTCTTCTGAACGTGCAATTTTTTTCCACAAGTTTTTGGAAAAAGTGGAAAGAAAATGTTTTTTTTTTACACAGAATTGTTGATTTATAAACTTTCTAAAACAAAGCATGGACATAGCAAGAATTTCACCCCAAAGTACATTTTGCTACTCCTCCGGAGTATGGCGATCCCACATGTGTGAGACTTTTTCATAGCCTAGACACATAGAGGTGCATCATCCAAGGAGCATCTTCAGGTATTCTAGGGATATAAATTACACATCTAATTAACTGACTACCTATTACACTTTTGAAGGCCCTGGAGCACCAGGAAAGTGGAATTACCCACAAAATGACCCAATTTTGGAAAGCATACACCCAAATAATGGCATAATGAGTCTTTTGAACATTGCATTTTTTCAAAATTTTCTTAAAAATGTAAAAATAAAATGAAAAAATTTTTTACACAAAGTTACCAATTTATAAGATATTTCTAACAAACAGTATGGACATCCCAAAAGTTACACTCCAAAATAAATATTTCTACTCATCCTGAGTATGGCAATACCACATGTGTGATACTTTACCTGTGGTTTTAGTAGAGCAGTTGTCTGCAGAGGAGAACATTGGTCCAGGAAGCAGGCAGAGATGTGGTCAGCAACAGCCAAAGGAATCGTCCAGGCAGCAGGCATGAATGTGGTCAATAAACAGGCTAGAGTCAGTACAGGCAGCAGGCTAAAATCCTGGCAGCCAGCAGGAACAGGGTCTCTAAAAAGTCCTGGGTTTTTACATGCAGCAGACAGAGATATGGTCGGCACAGTCAAAGTATTGGTCCAGGCAGCAGGCGGGAACATTAGGTTTAGGGTCTCAGTCAGGAAAGAACTGGGCACAGGGATAGAGTTTTCTTCCCACCCAATCTCTTAGAAGCTTCAGACTAACAGACCCTTAATATCCTGTACACGGAATATCCTGTGGCTCTTTCTCAGAGCTTGTTGAGCTTCAAATCCATACCTGGACCTTTTACTGGGAATGTATTGCCTGATTCCCAGCCGACCAGTACAATGGACAAAGGACTTGTCCACACAGATGTTTTGGTCAGGGACATAAACTTCAGCAAATCTCTTTAATTAAAATTAATTAGGGGGTGGATTTTGTATAGTTTGTTGTAGCCAGGCTGATCTCAATAAATTATTGCTGAAATGCAGGAAGCGCATGATCATGTCATAGCATGACTTGGGCATTACAGCTGAATAAATGAGCATGTGATGAATGGGGGTGTCAGGGCTCCCAGGTATGACCAGAGGTGTGTGACTGAAGCAGGGAAACGCAGACCACAGATATGTTATAAACAATATAATTTATTAACACTAACAGTACAAACATAAACGCAGTGCAATACTAAACATAATACAGTGCAAACAAACCAAACCAAACCACCCACAGATAACAGTACATACAAGCAAGCGTCGTCAGGCAGGCCGGGTCAATATCAATTGGGCAGGTAGGTACAGGGGGAGCAAGCGGAGAATGGTCGGGGTCACAGGCCAGGTTCAGCAGGTAGCAAGCAGCATAGTACAGAGGGTCAGGCAGAGGGATGGTCCGGGTCACAAGCCAGGGATCAGAACAGGTAGCAAGCAGCGTAGTACAGAGGGTCAGACAGAGGGATGGTCAGGGTCACAAGCCAGGATCAGAGCAGGAGAAGTCAGCAAAGGAACAGAAACAGGATGCAGGACAGATACAGGGCCCAGGAAAAACACAACACCAAGGCAGAGTCTGTGGGTCTGGCCATCCCTTAAATACCCCAGCATCATCAGTTACAGGTGTTAGCTGGCTGCAGAGTTGAGTCTCTGATTGCTGGGAACACCCGCTGGCCAGCCCTGGTACTGCAGATCAAAAGGCAGGTGAGTCCCACCATTGCTGGCCAGTCCATTCCTAACAGGGGGGATGGACCAGTAAGTATGAAATTTGTTTTTTTTGTAAGCCCTATGTTGATCGTAAGGTCCAAAAACAATTTGAGCAAAAATATTAGCCTTGTCCACAATGAACTGAAATGAATTATCAGGGGAAAAAAAATAGTGCGGTGAAAAGGGGGATTGTATTTGATCCTGAGCTGGAAGGCAGCCATAATAGGTTTGCCAGGGCATCTGGAAGATATGTATGAGCCCTGATTCTTGGGGTCTGGTTTGATATTCCAGTACTAATATTGGGCCTTTCATCCAGGGTCTAGCGCCGTTGGTGTTTGCAGATTCACCATTGGGATCAGGGGCGGTCTGACAACTCATGGGGCTCCCGGGGCAATAGGGGATCATGGGACCCCGGTGTCCTTGCCCAAACTCAAAAAAGCCTATGAAAAAGGTACCAGGGGCATCTGATGGGGCCCCCTACTGACCCTGGGCCCTCGAGCTGTGCCCAAGTTTCCAAATGGTCAGTCCGCCCCTGATTGGGATGTATGGCACTGCCGTTTGTTGCCTGGTCTTCAGCGCATCTTATTCTTTTTACGAGGGACGGCTTCCTCCTCCGATTTGGTCACTGATCCACTACTTTCGATGGGCTCATATTCCAAATCGGAATCGGACAGTCCCCGCTGCTCTCATCATACTGTGAATTTGGAATGCTTCCTCACTAGTATAATATTTTTTGGACATGGTGGCTCTGGTGATACCTGAACAGGTACACTGCTGATTGTGGCTGTATGATAGGTAAACTGTTGATAGGTGGCTGTGATGGGTACACTGCTGATGGGCGGCAGTGATGGTGGCTCTGTGACAGGTACACTGATTAAGCTGCACTGATGACAGGAACACTAATAGGCTGCACTGATGGATGCGCTGACAAGTAGATTGATAGGCTGCACTGATGACAGGTACACAGGCTGCACTGATGGATGTGCTGACAGGTACACTGATAGGCTGCACTGACAGATGCACTGACAGGTACACTGATAGGTTGCACTGATGACAGGTACACGGATAGGCTGCACTGATGGATGTGCTGACAGGTACACTAATAGGCTGCAATGATGGATACACTGACAGGTACACTAATAGGTTGCACTGATAGATGTGCTGACAGGTACACTGATGGTTGCACTGACAGTTACATTGATGGGATGCTGTGACAGACATACTGATGGGCTGCACTGGCAGGAATACTTTAATCCTGAGGCAATCAGTACAGAGGGGGTTAAGTCAGTAACTTACTGTTCCTGGGTTCTCCTCCTCACACAGGACCAGTGCGTAAGGAGGAAAAGCCAGTTACAGCAAGTTACCACTGTGATCCGCTGTGATTGGGCACAGCCGATCACATGGTAAAGAGCCAATGTCATTGGTTCTTTACCCTGATTAGTGATGCCCTGTGTCTGAGGGACAGATCCCTGGAAGCACGCATGAGCAGCATGACTGGGAAGACGTCATATGGCGTCCACCTGATAGGAGGAGAGTCCCGCCCGGCCGTCATTCTGCTATAGGCTGAGTAGGAACTGGTTGAGGAAATGCCCTGTAGTAAGAGCATTAGGATTTTGTCAAATATTCATATTAATATTTCCAATTTATACACATACAAATGTACACATTTGTCTATGAGGTGTTTGCATAATTAAATGTTAATCCTCATTTACAATAAGTGGAATATATTGTCCTAAAAACAATCCAGTAAAATAAAAAAAAGCCATGGACAATTGTTTTAACGTTCATTATTGTACTTTTGTATGTACTCTCTATTCCAGGGAAGCGGAAAAGGGGACCCAAACAAAAAATCACAATGGAAAGAGCATGCATTGGCTTTGATGTCCTATTACTAGCATTATTTTTACACCAAACAACAGGGTCCATGTAATCTAAAGGACTGCACTTGTTTATGTTTCTTTTCCGGGAAACTGTGCCAGATTGATTTGTGTCACTGCTTTACAGGTATGTGCCCTACTGGGAACTTATACCCTCTTCCTGCCCAGGCCAATTTTCAGCTTTCAGCACTGTCGCACTTTGAATGACAATTGCGCGGTAATGCAAGATTGTACCCACATGACATTTTTATAATTTTTTTCTCATAAATAGAGCTTTCTTTTGGTGCTATTTAATCGCACTGAGTGTTTTAATTTTGCGCTATAAACAAAAAAAGGTGCAAAAAATGTAAGACAAAAGTTTCTTTATTTCTATTATAAAATTTTGCAAACAGGTAATTTTTCTCCATCACTGATGTGCGTTGATGAGGCAGCACTGATGGGCACTGATAGGCAGCACTGATGGGCACTGATAGGCAGCACTGAAGGGCACTGATAGGCGGCACTAATGAGGTGGCACGGATAGGCGGCACTGATGATGGGTACTGATAGTCAGCACTGATAGGCAGCACTGACTGGCGGCACTGTTGGGCACTGACTGGCGGCACTGCTGGGCATTGTCTGGCGCAACTGCTGGGCACTGACTGGTGGCACTGACTGGCGGCACTGCTGGGCTGCACTGATGGGTACTGGTGGGTGGCACAGGTGGGTGGCACTGCTGGGCACAGGTAGGTGGCACTGCTGGGCACAGGTAGGTGGCAGAGGTGGGTGGCACTGCTGGGCACTGGTGGGTGGCATAGGTGGGTGGCACTAATGGGCACTGGTGGGTGGCACTGATGGGCACTGGTAGGCAGCACTGCTGGGTACAGATGGGCGGAACTGGTGGGTAGCACTGCTGGGCACCGATCATCAGGGTATTGATCATCAGTGCCCTGATGATCAGTGCCGATCCCTGCTCTGACAACTGCCAGTTCTCGGTAGTACTTTCCTCACGCTCTGACAGCGTGAGGAAAGTGCAGCCGAGAACCGGCAATTGCATTTCCCTGTGATCAGCGTGTCATTGGATCACGTGGTCACATGGTAAAAGGCCACTGTGATTGGCCTTTTACCACATCATGTGATCAGCTGTGTCCGTAGGACACAGTGATCACGGAGATCGCCGGGTGCGATCACCCGGGGGGCGCACAGGAGAGCGCGTTCTGGGAGGACGTCATATGAAAGATAGACTGAAGGAATGAGAACTTTTTTATTGCAGTTTGTACCCTAGTTCAGAATATTCAACCTCTGTATTTATCCAGTTTACTGTTATCACAGAAAGTGAAAGAAAATGGCAAATCGTCCAATAAAGTCACTAGTTCTGGTGACACTCTGGAACATCCACATTTTGGCCTCATGTACATATGAACTCATCTAGTTGTTAAACTCTCCTGGCAGCAGAAAACCGCTAAACGCAGCAAAAAACGCATGTAAACACGGTACCGCGCTTACCCACGTTTAGCGCTTGGATGTTTATTCATTTGATTGGCTAGAGTATTTTCCATTGACATGAATAAACGCCCAAGCGCTAAATGCGGCTAGTGTTTAGCCGTGTTTACATGCATTTTGGCGTTTTTGGCCAAAACGTTCCTCTCATTTACCCACAGTTAACGCTTGGATGTCTATTCCTTTGACTGGCCAGTGTATTTTCCATTGACATGGATAAACGCTTAAGCGCTAAACGCGGCTAGTGTTTAGCCGCGTTCACATGCATTTTTGGCCAAAATATTCCTTTCCTGAATGTGACTATTCTGCGTTCAAAAGTTTAACGTTTAACTGCCCCTGAACTGTACTTGGACACATAGGCTTTTATTAAGTTGAGTTCAGGGGCTTTGGCAAAAAAACGGCAAAAGCTCCTAAACTCACGTTTAGGAGCAGCAGTGTACATGAGGCCTTTGGAGGGATTTCTTCCCACTTCCTGTTTTTGGCTCTGGGACAGGAAGTGAAGGGAAATCTCCCCAATGGGACACAGACGACAAAAAAAATGACAGGGATTATAACCCTCTTTTACTTTACCCAAAATGAAAAAATGCTTCTACTTTTAAAATTATTAACTAAACTTCTCCTTTTTGTGGCATCACTTTTTATTCACTCTCCGCACTTGGTGTTTCATCTATTATGCAATTTGTAAAACAAAAGAGGTATTTGTATTTTATGTTAAAATTTTTATGTCTAATCATAGTGTGAATATTTCCTTAGACTACAACCTAGTTCAGAATGTGCGAGGGGGGCACAACTCTTTGGGCCCACCTTCATGGGTCTGCGGCTGCCCTCCGCTCTCATTTAGGTGTTTTTAGGGTTAAATAGTGTGTCATAACAGACATGGTAATTTTTGGTACGCTGTGCTGTGCCTTTAAGTAAAAGGGAATATTGGCTGTTTGAAAATTCCAACCAATGGGAATTCTTGGAAATTGCTGGAAGGTCTGGGATCATATATAAGGAATGGAGGGAAAGGATTTTCCTCACACTGGACCTGCTGTGCCAAAAGAGCTCCCACCTTCCCGGCTGGCGCAGGTACTTTATGAGGTTAGCTGCCACCTTGGATTCCAAGGGGGGGTAATGTTGTAATTGCGGTAAAGTTATGCTTGAGTTCTTAAACTGAGCTAATGGTTTTGTTATTTATAGAAATGTTGAATGATGTACAATAAAATAATATTTTGGTGAATTTATTGTCTAATTTCAATTAAACCAATAAAGTGCCATGGCCTTTTCAATGCCATTTATGTGTTAGGTCTTTTATTTATTTATTATATATATTTGTTTGCTGCCTGCAGTTCAAAGTTTTTTTTTTTTTCTTGATTTTGATATAGGTATGGAGGGTGGATGTTTTATTGATTAATAAACACAAGTTTTTGACTCTCACAATTGTAAATTTGCTTGATTTTTTTTTTTTTTTTTTTTACGAAAGTTGCAGCCTCATCCCACAAACCAACATAAATGTACAGTATGTATATAGGTGTGTGTGTGTGTATGTATATCAAATTTTTTTTCCTTTTTATATTTTCTCTACTTTTAACATACTTTGTTATATAACATAGCATGTCAACCATGTCTAATGTATTTTGGTGTAAGAATTAATTCTACCTGTATGTAGTTAATATTTTTTGTTCTGGATTTTTTTTTTTTTTTTTATAAGTTGGACACAGGAAAGACCTCAAAGCGATTTGACACAATTATTGTGACCTACAAAATATATTGCAAAATTGTTTCTTACATTTTTTTTTTGTGTGCTTTTTGAAAAATAAAAATCTCAGTTGGTGTTTTTGTCCAAGTTTTTTGTTTCAATGACTAATGTATCACCCATAAAAATACATAACGTAAAATGTTTTCATATCTGCTTTTCACTAGGCACACTTTTGCAAGTCAGAACAGAGAAAACCTAAACACACCTCAAAAGCTGACCTTCTTAATTAGAGGCACAAAAGAATTCAGGTGTGGTGCATCCTGAGTATTAAGGAAAGGCAGCCAGCCCTCTGTTTCTGTGTTCACCATCAACCAGCCCATATGAAGAAAAAAAAAGAACATTAAAATGAATAAAAAAATGTTTTCTAAGGGTAAATAATGACTCCATGTATATTGCTATATAAAAAAAAAAAACTGGAACATATTCCAAAGGAAAATGATTCATTTTGCACCTCAGGCTGGAGTGAAAATATCCACATAAGCTAACACAGGAAATACATCATCATGGCTGTGGAATAACCACTATGGATGTGTCTAATAGTGGAGATTCTAGGAATTACATTCTATGAGGCAACACCATGCCGCACACAAGCTTCTCCAAGCGCCAAATGGGGGACATCTGCAGAGTAAGTTTGGGGGTTTATATACTGTATGTGTATATAGATGGATAGATTTACACATTGATATATATATATAAATGTGTGTGTAGATAAAAAGATAGAAGAAAAAAAAGATGTGTGTGTCAGTGCTGAAACAAGGTCATTGAGTGGCCAGGGTGGAGATGGGAAATTGCACCCACCTGGCACCCCATGGCCTCCAGCTATCTGACACCCCAAGAGGAAGGTACCATGGCCAATAGCTGTGCGCACCACAATATTTGTATTGTTTGTGGCATGCAATGAAATAGTATCAATATTTGTGGTACACTGCAGCAAAGAACAGCTAGAACATTTAAGATCAGTGCACAAATATTGGGCTAACAGTGGCAAAGGAACAAAATGTCGCTGGGCTGGTGGTGTTACTGAAAGGAAAAAAAATCCCTGCATCAGGGGCATCACTGGAATTTAAAAAAATGTCCCTGAGCTGGTGGTGTCACCGGAAGAAGAAAATATCCCTAAGTTGGTGGTGTCACTGGTGGAAGAAAATGTCCCTGAGCCAGTGGTGTCATTGAAAGGAAAAGAGTTGGTGGAGTCACTGGAAAGAAAACAATTGCCCTGAGATGGTGGTGTTAATAATAGGAAACAATGTTTCCTTGTTGAAGGTGTCACTGAAATGAAAAAAAAAAAATGCCTCTGAGTTAGTGGCATCACTGGAAGGAGAAAATGTCCTTGAGTGTGTGGTCTCACTGGAAGAAAAAAATGTCCCCTTGGTGGTGTCACTGAAATGAAAAAAAACTGTCCCTGAGTTGGTGGTGTTATTGAGGGGAAAACATGTTTTTGAGTCCATGGTGTCACTGGAAGGAAAATATGCCCCTGAGTTGGTGGTTACCCTAAAGGAAAAAAATAGCCTTGATCTGGTGGTGTGATTGGAAGGAAAAAATGTTGCCTTGGTGGTGTCACTAAAATGAAAAAATGTCCTTGAGTCCATGGTGCCGCTGGAAGGAAACAATGCCCCTACAGTGGCGGTTTCACTGGAAGGAAAAAGGTCCCTGAATCTGTGGTGTCACTGGAAGGAAAAAAAAGGTCCCTTGGTGGTGTTACTGGACAGAAAAAATGTACCTCAGTGCAGTCACTCAAAGGAAAAAAATGTCCCTGATAGAACTCCACACTGATATTATTTTGAACATGCCCCTTTCAATTAGTGATTCAATTACACAGAATCAGCAGAATGCATGTCATGACTGTTGGGTCTGTTGGATTTCTATTACTCTACTACACCTGCTTGTAAATTGTTTGCCATGTAGAAATATCATTTCCACCAAAAAAACAGTGATTGATCAGGTTAGTGATGTCTGACTTCTATTATTTTGAACACAACTGTATATATTTTTTCTAACTAAAGGTAAAAAACAAACTACTTGTACATATGTATAATATTATGTATATTATTTTGAACATGCCCCTGTCAGGGATCCCGAGTTTTGCCGCGGCGCACAGGTCTGCGCATGACCGGAATCCCAATGCGGACAAGCATGCGGGCACTAGGACATAGGCGCCCGTGGCAACAACTGTGGCCGCACATACGCACTCGTGCACGCGGACGCGAGCCTGGCACCAATGACAGTGCAGGGCGCACTATTTAAACCGGCTCTTGCAATGCTCAAATTGCCTTATGGTCTTGTTCCTTGTTGTTCCTGTTCCTGTGCGAGTATCCTGTTGTTGCCGAACCCTGCTTGATCCTGATTTCCGCTGACCTTCTCCTGCCCTGACCTCTGGCTCGTTTGACCATTCTTCTGCCTGTTCCTGATTATCTGATCTCCTGCTGCTGAACCTGGCCTGTGACCCGACGACTCTCTGCCTACTGCTCTGTACCGCTCTGCCTCCACTGTTACCGACCCAGCCTGTCTGACTCCGCTATTGTTCCAGTGTGTTCCGTCCATCCATCCTGCTCGGATCCATCCATTGCAGTCTGGGTCTGTTCTGCCTCTTCACATCAGGCTCTCGTCCTGCTACGTGCCACTGGCGGTTCCTTCTACCACAGCTGGGTGTACCCAGGGGCCGCGACCGGGTCTCAGTCTGCTCCAAGTCCATCCCCACCATCAGGGGCTCTGGTGAACAAGCAGATTGGGGCTTAGACTACGTGCCTTAGGGAAATCCGGTCTGTGGAGCGCTAGAGCTACCGTCAGTAGGTACCTGACAGTACCATACGGCCATGTCTGAG